AGCCACGAGGCGCGGGCTAATTTTACACTCCTATTAATGTGAATGTTAACATGTCAATGTGAATATTCACATTGTCAACGGGCCGGGCCGGGCCCACCCCGGGCCGTGGGCGGACTTTTGGCCGCCCATGGGCCGCGGGCCAATTTTATACTCTTATCAATATGAATGTTAATATGTCAATGTGAATATTCACATTGTCAACGGGCCGAATCGGACCCGCCCCGAGCCGCCTATGGGCCACGGGCAGGTTTCGCGCCGCCACGGGACGCGGGCCAATTTTACACTCATATTAATGTGAATATTAACATGTCAATGTGAATATTCACATTGTCAATGGGCTGGGCCCGCCCCGGCTTGACTCGAATTTTTCTGGGCACCCACGAGGATCGATATGGGCCGGGCCTCTACACATGGACGATATGAACATTCACATTGACGGTGTGAACATTCACATTAGGGGTATTTTGGTAATTATGTCACCCATAGGACTTATTGAAACATAAGAAAATAATATGAACTAAATGAAACATAAGTAGATGAAAATGGTATTTTGGTCTTCTTATCTCAAATAGGACATAACGGAATAGTCAAAAAGAATATGGATTGGATGGAATAAAGCTTTTAGAAAGTGAATTTATCAAAAAGCTCCCAATATAATACAACTAGCTAATAAAAAATTATAGGATATTAGTCTAAATTTACACACGTTTATCCACTTTTTATAAATTTATAATCATGTTTGGTGCAATTTATTGAGATTGTGTAATTTTTTTTTTAAATATTGTGAATATATACCGAAATGTTTGGTATAACTTTCACTTACATGTTTTTAGACAAAAAAAAGAGCTTCTTCTTTCTTTCTTTTTTTCCTTGAGGAAGGAGGGGATAACAAGTCAGTGGGTATTTCAAAAATTAATTATAAATTAATGATAAAATTTATACACTACAGGAAAAGTGGGTTTATGAGACGGAACTATTTGCGACGGCACACTTACCGTCTCAAAAAGTCACTTTTTGAGACGGCAGAAAATGCCGTCTCAAAAAAGCAGAGTATTTGCGACGGCACCATTTGCCGTCTCAAAAAAGCAGAGCATTTGCGACGGCACTATTTACCGTCGCAAATACTCTCAATTTTTGAGACGGCAGATGGTGCTGTCGCAAATACTCTACTTTTTTTAGATGGCATTTTCTGCTGTCGCAAAAAGTGACTTTCGTGTTTTTTTTTTAATTTTTAGTGAATATTTTTAAAATTTTAAATATTTTTTTTAGATGCACCTTACTTAGTTATGAAAAAATATTTTTAAAAATTAATAAATACATAAAAATACAAAAAAAAAAATGTATTGAATTATGGTATTTTTTTTTGTATTTTTGGTATTTAGTGAATTTTTAAAAGATTTTGGTGATTGTGGTTTTGAGATAGCTTCATATATATACAGTCACAAAATGGTTTGAATAAATTCAATGGTATTTTTCTGTCGCAAAAAAAATTAAAAAAAACAATGTCGTCTTACTCTTTTGATATAACATTTCTCTTTTCATTCATTTTTTCATCTTCCTGTCTCTCTGTCTCTATCTCTCTCTCTTCTCTTTATCTCTTTCACTCATCACTCTTCTTTCTCTGTCTGTCTGTTTCTCTCTCTCATTTTCTCTCTGTGTCTCTCGCCTATCTCTCTTCTCTCTATCTCTCTCATCTGTTTTCTCTCTCTGTCTCTCTCGCTCATTTCTTTTCTCTCTCTTATCTTTCTATCTCTCTCGCCCATTTCTCTTCTCTCTCTGTCTCTCTCTTTTTCTACGTCTCTCTCTCACTCATCTCTTTTCGCTCTATTTCTCTCTTTTTTTGTCTATCTCTCGCTCATCTCTTGTTTTTCTCTCTTTTTCTATCTCTCCTTCTATCTCTCTGTCTTTCTTTCTCTCCCTATCTCTTTTTCTGTCTATCTCTCTCTCCCTATCTCTCTCTCACTCATCACACTTCTCTCTCTCTCTGTCTACTTGTCTATTTGTCTATTTCTCCCTGTGTCTCTCCCCTTCTCTATGGGTCTTTGTCTCTCTTCTCTCTCTCTTTCTCACTCATCACTCTTCTATGTCTGTCCGTCTCTCTCTTTCTCTCTATGTCTCTGTCTCTCTTCTCTTTCTCTCTCTCACTCATCACTCTTCTCTGTATGTCTGTCTCTTTTTCTCTGTGTCTCTTGTCCATCTCTCTTCTCTCTATCTCTTTCATCTATCTTCTCTCTCTCTTTTTTTTTTCTCTCTCACTCTCTCGCTCATCTCTTTCTGTCTCTATCTTGTTTATCTCTTTTTGTTCTTTTTTTTTTCTATCTCTCTCTCTGTCTATATCTTTTCACCCATTTTTTCATCTTCTTCTCACTATTTTATTTCTCTCTCTCATTCATCACTCTTCTCTCTCTGTCTGTCTATTTGTCTCTCTCTCTCTCTCTGTGTCTCTCATTCATCTATCTCTTCTCTCATCTCTCTTCTCTCTCACCCATCTCTCTTCTCTCTATCTCTCTCACCTCTATCTCGCTCATCTCTCGCTTATCTCTATGTCTCTCTCGTTCATCTATTTTCTCTCTATGTCTCTCTCACTCATCTCTCTTCTCTCTATCTCTCTCTGTCTCTCTCTCTCTCACTGTGTTCATGTTGCTCACTCTCTTCCTTCCGTCTTCTCTATTTATTGAGCTCCCTCTCGATTTATCGATCCACTACAAGAAAATGTACTTTTAGCGACCACTTTGTCTCTTTCTCGCTCACCACTCTGTCTCTGTTTCTCTCTCTATCTCTCCTCTCTCTATCTCTCACTCATATCTCTCTCTCACCACCCATTTCCTCTACCACCTTCACCACTACTGCAAACGCCATTTCACTACCACCACTACTACCACGGTCGCAATTTCACCTCTACGACTACCATTACTACTACCATCGCCACCACTCCACTACCACCACTACCACTATTGCCACTATTACTACTACCATTACCTCTCTTTCACCCCTGTCACTCCATCTGCTCTACCACTACCACAACTTCACCACTAATCACCACCACCACCACCACCACCACCACCATCATCTCTTATCCACCACCTTCACCACTACTGCCGCTTCCTCTCCTCTACCACAAAATATTACCTCTCTTCTCTCTTTCACTCATCACTCTTCTCTGTCTGTCTGTCAGTCTTTGTCTCTGTCTCTTTTTCTTTCTCTTTGTCTCTCGCTTGTCTCTCTTCTCTCTATCTCTCTATCTCTCTTCTCTTTCACTCATTTATCTTCTCTCTATCTCTCTCTCTATATCTCGTTAATCTCTCTTCTCTTTCTGTCTCATTTTCTGTCTTTCACTCTCTTTCTCTTTCTCTCTCTCTCTCTTCTCTTTTTTTCTCTCTCTCTCCCCCACTGTGTTCGTGTTGCTCACTCTCTCCCTTCCGTCTTATTTATTTACTGAGCTCCCTTCCGTCTTCTCTACAACTATAATTGCTACCACCATCGCTACCACTCCACTACCACCACTACTACTACTATTACCTCTCATCCACCATCGCTATTCTATCTCCTCTACAACTACCACAACTTCACCACTTATATCCTTCACCATCACTACCACCACCACTATCACCTCTTATCCACCACTTTCACCACTACTGCCACTTCCCATCCTCTACCACAAAAAATTAGTTACTGTTGGGCACAAGGTGACGGTTATTTTGCCCAATGAGACCCGTTAAAAAAAAAAAAAAAAAAAAAATCATTTTATTATTTAAATTTTCATTTGTAATGAAAAAAAAAAAAAATTCATTCGTAATCCCCCTTTCCATTCCCGCTTGGGTTTCCCCCCCATCCCAAACTCAAAATCCCCAATCTCAAAATCCCTAATCTCTTCTTACGTCTCTCTCTCTCTCCTTCTCAATTTGTTTCAGATGCTGATTAGGATGATTCACGATCGAGGAGGAAGAGGAAGAGCAGGAAATCGGAATCAAATATCAACATACATACATACAGACTTGTTTGAATCGTCAATCAAATATCAACCAATCGATATCGATGGCTTCATCTTCGGATTCCATGGGCAACACTTTCAGAGCTCAAGTCCAGAAGATCTTCGGGTCTCATCATCATCATCATCATCATCATCGCTAAGCCCTCCGTGGTCTCTCACCGACGATGAGGTTGGGAATGTGACAAGGTTGGGAATGTCATTAAACAAAATTTATATCTTAAAATTTTCTGTGGAGCTATATTGGAAATAAAGAAATGTAATAATCGGAGACAAAAAAATTCTACATGTTTGATTTCTTATCGGAGGTAATCTTTGCGTCTAAAATCACAGTATCAAAATTAGGATAATATGATGGCATTTGATTCTGTAAATTTGTAAGCTTGATGTGTTCCTCTCTTTTTTCCTTTTTTCCTTTTTTTTAAAAAATTGATTTGATTAGCTAATGATGATATAGAATAGAATTGTTTCTTATTTTTTGGTTTTGTTGAAACATATATTGTTTTTTTTTTTAATTTTTATGTGATGAAGTTTCATTGGTTATTATTTTGATATGATTCTGATGATTGGTGAAGTGTGTCGTAAAGGCTCTAATGCATCAAGAGGTGAAAAAAATTATTTTATGTTGAGTGGAACATGAATGAATACCTGTGTGTAGGCTTAGCTAGGAATGTTTTGTGCACAAGAGGTTGGAAATGTGACAAGCTTTGCAACTTCAAGGGCTTTTGCCTTATAAAGTTTTTATGCAAGTGACTGAAAGCCATAAGGTGGCTTTCTGATGTGACCTATTGAAATCCTTTTAATAGCAACTTTTGCATTTGATTATAGCTCTACTTTCAAGGATATATGCATAATTTTTTAATTAAACAAATCCAAGGCATTATTTTTGTCTCAAAACTCATACTAAGCAGGTTGTTTGATGTGTCTAATATTGTTATATTAATTTTTCTTCATTAGATTCTTATTTGTTTCTGATTGTACTTGTGTTGCTTTGTTGTTTGGGTGCAGATAAGATTCACAGCAAGATGGGCGAAGGTATTTCTTAATAAACATATTTCTATTATAATATTACTGAAGTTTAATTTCAGGCTCATCACATGTCTTGTTTTTGTTGATCAATATTTTATATAGGCACCTTTGGCCAGGTCTTGGAATGTTGGGACAGAGAAAGGAAGGATATGGCTGCCATTAAAATTGTTCGTGGTATTAAGAAATATCGTGAAACAGCTACGATAGAAGTTGAAGTATTGCAACAGCTTGGGAAACATGATAAGGATGGCAACCGGTGAGTTTTATTTCATGAGTTTAATGTGTTTCAATCTCTCACTGCTATTCCTCATGTTTTGGTGGGATTTTGTAAATTCTGTGTCAGTGGTTAAATGGGTTTATTCCTTGCAGTTGTGTGCAAATAAGGAACTGGTTTGACTATCGTAACCATATCTGTATTGTAAGTATATAATTGATTTGGTGGGCTAAATTCCCCAATTTCAAAAATGTTTTGGGGTTAAGACTTGTGGATGGATTCAAATGGCTTTAACAGGTGTTTGAGAAGCTTGGACCAAGCTTATACAAATTTCTACGGAAAAACAATTATCGCTCATTTCCAATTGATCTTGTCCGTGAGAATGGAAGACAACTGTTGGAATGTGTAGCATGTGTGTAGTAATTACTTGGACCAGTTTCTTTAAATTCATCATATTATTTTCCGTTTTCTGTTTTTATTAGGTTTGGTTGGTGATAGATGAAAGCTAACATTAATTCATTTCAATTTTATTTTTAAGCTGCAAATTCTTTTATACAAAGTTCTGCTATAAAGATTTTTGTATTTAGTTAGCTTCCTCATCACATGCATTAATATTTGGCTTTATTTCTCTAATTTGCAGTTATGCATGATTTGCATCTGATTCATACGGATTTGAAGCCTGAGAATATTCTTCTAGTGTCTTCAGAGCATGTTAAAGTTCCAGATTACAAGGTAATGCATTGTTAGGTGGTTATTTGAATCTTTCTTCTTCTTGTCTATGTATATTGTACATGATGTATAGTGGACTTTCTACTGTTAACTTGTGTTGAGACCTTATCTTGTATTCTATGTGAACAGGGTTCCTCACGATCGCCAAAGGATGGTTCTTACTTCAAAAAAGTTCCAAAATCAAGTGCCATCAAGGTAATTGATTTTGGCAGCACAACTTATGATCGTCAAGATCAGAGCTACATTGTATCAATTCGACATTATCGGGCACCAGAAGTAATTCTGGGTATGCTATTCTCAACTGCTATGGCTTATCTTTCACGTTTTTCTGATGTACCTTTAAGACTGGAAGACATATCCAATTAGTAAATTTTTTTTTATGATTGTCCAGGGCTTGGGTGGAGTTATCCTTGCGATGTTTGGAGTGTTGGTTGCGTCTTAGTGGAGTTGTGCTCAGTATCTATAAAAATTTGAAACCCAAACACATCATGTATGCGTACGTACCCAGCTCAGAGAACACACCCAAAAAAAGTACACAGCGGTATCAAATGCTTTTACCATGTCAGGATCTCCTATCTTTTCTTTTCTATAACTATAAACGTATATGTATAGATGATATAACTATTTGAACGCACAATCAAACCCATCATCAAAACACTCTCTGTTCATATAATAGAAAATGGAGATTAAGGTTGGAACCGATGGAGGTGGAAATTCAACTTACATTCCGGCGGCCTCTTCAGTCAACCCCCTCTTCATCGATCAAGAAATGCATGGTTCGCCACAAAAAAAAAAAAAAAAAAAACCTTT